TTTTTTTTTTTTTTTTTTTTTTATGATTTTTTGTTCAACTATCATTTTCTATTTCAATGAAAATGTGGTACAAGATAAAAATATAAGAGGTTATGTTTATATCTACAGTATAATTAGAAACTCTTTATAAAAGATTAAAACTAGAATTATGTTCATTTTTTCCGCTTTGCTGTAAAAACTTTTACAAGTTGTTTATTTATTATATATTTAAAAACTTTTAGAAATTAAGTTAAGTTATCACAAATCGAATTCAGAATAATTCTATTATAAATTTATTTCTATAAATAAAATTTTTATCACAAATGTCTTCGTAATAATGTTTTCCAATGTTTTTTTTTTTTTAGGTTATGATCTTTTTTATAATAATGAAATAACTTTTAATTTTAAAAGTACATAAAAGAAAATTTGTATATTAAGTATACAATTATATGATCATATCATATCGTATTTAAAAATTTATTTTTCGATAAAATACAACGATTGAATAATATTAGATATTGAATATAATATCCGAAATAAAAATATTTCTTTGATTATTTTCATATTAATGTAAGTAAAATATTTATTTGATTTTACAAATATATAATAAGTATTTGAATTATGTATGTCTTTTAATATATACATGATATAATTGAAATAGATATTTTCTTCAGTACACGTGTAAAATATTTGAATATTATTTTGATGAAAATTTTATCCGCCAAGCAATTACGATTATATCTTAAAATTCGTGTTTACATATCATGGAGTGAGTGATTAATATTTATCTAAGTTCATACGATAATCAAAAAATATAAAAATATACTTTCCTACTTATTTTCCTTGTTAGATAATAATCAAAAAATACGATATTTAAAATAATTAAAAGTAAATTTGGACACGTGAAATATTATTTCATTTAATCAATAAATTATATACAAATATTATGTACATATATACTATAAACATTTATAATATTTATTTTATATAATTGGAGAACGACTATAAAATATATATCTATATTTTAAATTGCCAGAAAAAATTGTATATAAACGAGTTTCAATTTTCAGGAGTTTCCTTCACGGAAGACGGATTTCCGTGAAAGATAATAGAATGAGAATGATGGAAAAAGGAAGAGAGTAGAGGAAAAGCGGAGCGAAAACGAGACGAAAAGAGAATGGGTGTTGGCATACTCGGGAGCAGACGCAGCGCAGCGAGTGAACGCGTGAGACGGGAACCGGAAGTCTATTTTCGTGTGCCGCACCGATTTAGAAAGCTTTATAGTTTGTACGAGCCTGAACGGCTACAGCCAACGCATCGTTGATGTGGCTCGTTGCTTTGAGTGCATGCACAAATTGAGATTTGTGATTCTCTCTCTCTCTCTCTCTCTCTCTCTTCTCTCACTATTCTAGATCTATCCCATCCAACTATTTACAAACATTAGCCCATCAAACACAAAATAGTAAAATAATAACGAACACAATGTGTCAATTTAATAATCGTGATTATTGATATAATCTAATAGAAAATTATATTGCACATAACTTGATAAATAAGTCTCAACTCATATTTTTTTTTTTTGTTTGATTCCTAGAACTGACACTTTTCAAAAATGTTCTACTTTTATTCTTAATCTTGTGATAATTAGAAAAATTTAATAAATAGAAAAGAACCGGATTAAAAAGATTAATATACGTCCTCTATTTCATATAGAATGTTCGATAAAAAAATATCTTAAATTGGATCCATGCGTTATCGCATTCGTCACGGTTTCCTCCACGGCGAAATAGATATCTACAAACATAGACAATATATTTCAATGAATGCCTTGTCAATCAGTTGCGTAGATCGGCCACGTGCACGATACACCTTTGATCTATCGGCTGCTTAATGAGTGTCGGATGGATGAGTCGATGAATGAAATCCCCACTACCGGCATCGATGTCCTTCCTTCATTCGCGACCAGCGCCATTCAATGAACAACCGTTTCTGAAAACCTTGACGGCTCTACTCCCCGATAATACGATACAGTGCCGGCCAAAAATTTGTGCACGCATACCAATACGTAAAATATTTTTAAATTCTTTGATTGGTGATGGTAAAATAACAAATATGGCTTTATTTGTTTATATATTGTATATACTTATTGACAATTAAAATTCTTAGTTTTATGCAATAAAATTGTCATAGTTTTTTATTTTATATTTTACTTCATTTATTTAAATTGAATAAAATAAAAAGTATTTGTAAAGTATTCTTAGAATCTATAAAATTTGTGTAAATTTGTGTTTAATCGTTTTTTAAGAATTCTGTGATAACCTAATTGAATAAAGATTAACACAATTGCATTTTGATTTACAGTTCTTCTTTTCTAATTCAAAATTAAATTATACGAATCAGAAGAAATGTATTAATAATGAATGTATTAATAATTATTGACAATTTTATATCTGAAAGAAGAAATAATTTTCCCCAAACAATAAACAAAGAATGAGATTCGTGTATAAAGATCGATTCCTCGAAATGGAAGAAATGGAAGCACGGAGACGCGCGAGACATTTAAATTCGATACGATCGAGAAGGAATCCGGACATTGAAAACGATACGATAAGCATTCTTTTCTTAGCCCATGGACGGGAAGAAGGAGGATCCGTACAGTTTCGTCAACTGGCCGATTATCGTCCAGTATTCGTCGTTAGCAAAATTAATCGCGAGCCCGGGTAAAATGATCTACTCGACATTGGAAACTCGACATCCGGCCAGACGTGTATCTCTCTCGGTCGTATCCTCGCTTCTCTCTCTCGCCGCCTTTCCTCCAACCTCTTTATCTCTCTTCCTCTCGCTTCTCTCTTTCCCGAGTTATTTCTTCTCTTTTTTCTCTCTTTTTTTTTCCCTCCGTTCGCTACGATAGCAACGTTAACCAGCTGCCTACTTAGAGAAACAAGACAGAAAGAGGGAGAGGAAATGGGATGAAGGGAGAGGGAGAGAGAACGAGAAGGAGAAGGATAGAGCGAGAAGCGAGTGGGGATAGAGATGGAGAGAGGAGAATGAGGCGGAATACTCGCATACTAACGCATCGATGCCACTTACTCACCAACCACATCCCGTCTTTCGGCCTTCCGGCTTGTCTGTAACTTTCGTGGAAACGCCTCTGGCTTCCTTCCGGTCGTTTATCACTCGGTAGACGCTCTAAACGTAGATACGCTGTCCCACGTATGTTCATTTCATCCCCACCACATTCGTTTCTAAGCTGCCTCGTCACCCCCTCCCCGTCCCTTCGCACCAATTATTCCCCCTCTCTCTCTCTCTCTCTCAACTCTTCTCCTTTCTCACTCTTCGTTTCTTTTCATTCCTCTTTTAAGATGGCGGCATCTCTTACATTTATGTGCCCTTCTTCTTCACATTTTAACCTTTCCTCTAATATTAGGTCGCACGATTTTCTCTTTTTTCGCGTTTAGAAGGTTACTTGAATGCCATACTTCGAAGGTAGGCGCAGTTGCATGATTGCATGCTACGATTATATATTATAATTGCGCGTTAAATTTCTCTCGCAATTCGCAGTTAATACAACTTGTCATCTCGCCGCGTACTAACAAAATCGATACATAAGTTGAAATAAATTTGAAAAATATTCCAGTAAGATAAAAATTGATATTATTTTTTATCTCTAATTAAAACTTAAAATCAATTTTACGTATCAACAGAGAGAAGAGAATTATACTTATCGATATAAATAAATATCGATAAATAACGTATATACTGTTCTAATCAAATATAAAGAGAAGAAGATTATTAACGTATATTATGTATATTCATATTAACTATCGTTCTCGGATCGTTTAATTTTTACTTAGAAAAAAAATTTTTTACGAAACAATTTCGACGCCCGCGACGACCAATTTTCGTCGTTTCTCTCGCGTAAAATTTTTACAGAACTACAGCTTATACGTCTAACTCGGTCGATAATGAAAATCACGTTTCATATTCTATTTATTCACCGTTCGTATTCGCGTGCTCGTTAATTAGCTTCCCTCGCTAGGTCCCGCTCGGCTAATCCGCTCCGACGTGTTAATTTTCCACTCGCAA